GTTTTTCCTTTCCATGATGCATGATTTATTAGATCTTGAATACACGATGACTAGATCTACAAAGTGCTACAAAAATGATATGAGATGAGAAAAATACATGAATTTTGAACAAACCCAAGCGGTGAGTTGAGGTCCAACTCCCATCAACCCAATTTTTGGGGGAGGCCCGAGACCCGCCCCAAGCCCACCCACCTCCGAGATGGGGCGGGTTTGGTCATGCTTTGTGAAAATTCAGCCCGACACACCCCGCCCCACATTCCCAGGCAGGGCGGGTTTGGGCATGGTTTTTGGGCCCGAGCCCGGCCCATTGCCACCCTGATATTACAGGATGAAGGAGTAAGAATTAGGGGTACCTTTGCCTGAGTTACCCCAGGTTGAATTGTATGCAGATTCAGAATCTGAAATAATACTTAAATACTTCTTTATATTTTCTAATTTATTTCTTTATTTTATGTATTTTATCTTATTTACATAAGTAATAGTGTTTCTGTTACATATGTGATATATTCTTACTTTATACTTGGATTTTTTATGTAATTTATTATTTTATTTGCTATGACAGGTTGTCTCTTCCATAGTAGCAAGCTGACAAAAGTCAAGACCCAGTGTGGCTGTTGGGAAGAGGTTTGGCTGCAAAATTCTTCCATCCCAAATGGAGGCAACCCGTGCACACATCTTCCACTTGGAATGGAAAATAGCTGAGCTGAGCTCACCCAAATTTTCCAGCTCATCAAGCTCACACATCATCCCTGACATGATTTCCCAGATGGGAAATCTTGTAAATTTTAGGGAAATCCTGTAAAAAAAATAAAGATTTTTACAGATTTTTTAGATTTTTATAAATTTTTTGGATTTTCCAGATTCTTTAGATTTTTTCAGATTTTTTTACATTTTTCTAGATTTCCTAGACTTTTCTAATTTTTTTAGATTTTTCCAGATTTTATTACTAAGAGACATCTATAAAGTTGAAAAAATCTGAAAAAAAAAATAAAAAAACTGGAAAAATTAGAAAAAGGGCCTTAGTAAAAAAAAAACACGGGTTTTGCGTGTTTACACGCGGTTTTGCTGCGGCACAGCACACACGGTTTCCGCATTTAAACACGGTTTTGTAATTAATTTTTTACCGGTTATTTTTTGAGTTTTTTTGAATTTTTAAATTTTTTTACTACACTCTGAAGGGTGTAGAATTTAATGGTAAAGTCCATTTACCATAAAAATGACTTTAAATTTTTTTTTTCTGCTCACTCATATGTACAATTAACTGTTACTGGCTTGTTTTTCATTATTTTTTGACATTGTAAAGGTGTTTCCTACACTTTGAAAGGTGTAGAATTCAATGGTAATAATTATATTGCATAAAAATGAATTGTATGCCTTGTAATCTTTTTTCCCGCTCATTTTTCCTATTAATTGTTACCGGCTTGTTTTTAATTCGTTCTTGACTTTGTAAATTTGTTTCCTACACTTTTAAAGGTGTAGAATTGAATGGTAACATTTATTTTGCTTAAAAAGGAGTTCTTTGCCTTTTAAGTTTGGCTCCCACTCATTTTATTGATGCAAGCACGGTGGAAAGTTCCCAGTGGTTATTCAACCTTCCAAACTTGAATTTCACAATGGAAAAAAGACACAAAGTTCTATAATATTCTAATGAGGCCAACTTTAAATTTTCAAAAGAGTGTGGCAATAAACAAGCGTAGTTTGGATTTTAAAAGGGACACAAGCAGGAAATCAGAGGAAGGTATGGAGGACAGTAATTCAAAAATTAATCAACATCAACAGGATCCTTTTTGAAGCGTGTAGATCTTCTGAGAGGGGGGTACATGACTTCTTTACCCAGGTCAGTGTGGGCTAGAATATAATCCTCCCAACCCTGCGCTTCATCGCTGACATAGTGTCTCCAAAATGCATCAATCCGGGGGCATGGTCATATTTCAGCCTTGAAAGTGAACGGGATGAAATGAGAGGAGTCAGGTAAGAGGATCAGACAGATGGGAGGTTTGTTTCTTTGGCTATGCAAAAGAGGAAGATAAGTCGCAGGCATCTCTTCTGATAATAAAATAACTGGTCTTTGGTACGTATCAGCAATTAAATAACTGTGCGCAGGGAACGTCATCCAGTACTTGAGGGGGGCTTGCTGTTCCTTGTCTCTCCATGCAAGAGAATTGATGATTTCTTTTTGGTTGTCCCCTGCTCCCCATACGTTATCCAAAAGCGTTTTGTCTGAATAGACCATGTTTGACTCGAATTCCTTCTGCATTTCCTTGCAGATTGAGTCCCATTATTCAGACTGGCATCCCAAGCTGGCTGCAACCGCTCGGAAGCCACAATTTCCATAACCCTTGACGTTGTGAATGTGTAATATGTGTGGGATTGCCCCAGGGGGCTTGATGCTGTCTTTGTACTCATACTAACAAAAGTTCAAGAGGGAAACAGGGGGGATGAACAATGAGAAAAAGGGGTAATTAGATAAGTTACTCACAAGATCAATCTCCACATTCTTGTTTGTACTCCAAGTCAGTCCCTCGCTCAAAGGAGTTTTGTCAGGTTTGTCCACTTCGGTGATGGGTTCTGGTTGTTGCTTGACCACTCTGATTGGCCTAATTCGCAAGGGCGTCTTGACAGTTGGGGGATTTGGTTCTTCTTCCGAATGCTCCTCTTCGTTGAATATATTTTCACATAGGGCTCCAATTCCATCTAAAGCATCATCCTCACTCTCCTCGTCGGTTTCCATGGCCTACACAAAAATGAATCAGAAGCAGGAAAAATCTTCAGAAGGATATAAACAATGCACACCTCTGACTCATCCGTCTCATCCTTTTTGGCCGGTTTCTTCCTTGGTCGCCCAGGTTTGCGCTTGGGACCCTCGTCCATCTTGGCCACCTTCTTTGGCCTGCCTTGTTTCTTCTTCTACCCCTCGACGTACTCAAATCCAGATGGGTCCCTCTTGGTTGAAGACGTCGATTTGTGTTTCCGTTTGGAGCCTTTGGGTTGGCCCTTGAATCAATGGTTCTTGTCAAACTTGGGTTCCTCGAGAGGAATGGTTGCATGTGTTCCGTCAAGCAGTTTGTGAAGTTCGCCTAACATGAAGTGTTGTTCGCCAGGTTGAAGGGATTGGAATTTTTCAAAAACCTCGCTGAGGAACGCGTCTTCATGGCTCTTCTGCTGTGTCTCCGTGGCATCTTGGTTGTCACTAAGTTGCACCTGTCAAATGATCAGATGAATGAACAAAATAAATCAGATACCTTGTGCAAATTTTGTTTGGATCCTCTTGATGATAAACAAATAAGGAACTTACAGCTAGATCACTCTTGACGTGCCACTGAGCATGGAAATCATCTGCGATGAACTTTGTCCCCTCACGTTTGGCATTGTGGACTTGGTGGATGCAAGGAATCCCCATGGAAGATGAGTAGTTACCTGTACATGTGGTCGTCGGAGGCTTGGCCAAGTGAAATGAGTAAACAATCTTCAAGGCAAAGTGGGAGATGATTCCGTTAAGATTGGCAAGACCCTTTTTGATGAATGGAGAAGGGGATGGTGGAGTGTAAACTCTGCCCTTCTATACTATCAGATAACAAGACCCACCAAGCTTGGCTTGGCAAGTTTTAATCAAGTGATAGGGTAAAAGTTCAGGAATGAGTTTGTGTGATGAAGAGTTGTTGATTTAGTTTTGGTTGGCGCTTAAAAGTGTTTGTGTAAGGTGGTCAAATATTGCTTGAGTGTTACTTGACTGAGGATTTAACAGCTGGGAGGAGGGCCTCCTTATATATAAAACAGTGAGGGAATTTAGCTCCAGGGCAGCCAGTAATGAGTGATTTTGGCTGGCCTGGGCTATTACATGAGGTATTTTAGCTACATACAAATTATGAATGAGTGAATGTGATTGGTCAGACATGTACAAGAGTTAAAGTGGTGAGCCAAACAGTTGAAAGGATGATTCTGATTGGTCAGTTTATGGGGTGTTTACAAGTGAGTGTGGTGGTGTAAGCTTCAGCTGTCATGCAAGGAAAATACACTAATTTAGGCTGCAGGTATGATGTAATATGTAGAAGTGAAAGAAAAAATAACTATATGTAAATGAGTGTATATGTAAATGAGGGGCTTGTACTTTACTGAGGGTGTCTGTGTAGCTTGAGGGTTGTAATTGGGATTGGGGCAATGTATTGATGGGTGAAATCCTCGTGATATGTTGTCCATTGTTGGGTAAGAGTTGATCCAGGTGTATCACCACGGGAGTTTGCTCGGCACCTGCTTACAAGTGCCATCGTGGAACTTCGTCATAGATCTGGTTAGATGTCTGTTAGATGCTGGTTAGAATATGTGTGGATGTTTACGACAACTTGTCCTGATATAACCCAGAATGATAGTTGATGTATTGTGTAATGCATGTGTAGAATGCACATTATGACAATGCTGAAACTAAGTTCAACTTAACAATACGCAGTTGGTGAACCAAATCTTTGGCCTAATATCTTGGCTATTATCAACTGTGATATGGATGTGGACCACGGCCTTGGGAATTTTCTCAGTTCAACGGGCTACTAGTTAAAAGGTAGCGTGTGAGTCAAACAAGCCCTTGCCAATCCTTATATCATTCCCATGTAAGAACAGCTTACAAAGTTAGCATGGACCAGGTCATCTAAGCTTTTGGTATCAGCTACATATGACCGAGTATGTGATGTTGACCAAATGCTGAACTTGTTTGGTCAGATTTATTTTGGAACAAATAAATCAGTTAGCATGTTGGCTGGCTCGATTGGATAAGTGCTGATGTTTGTTAACTTTCAAGCTTAAATCACTACCTCATGTCATGCCCTGCAGCCAATGTGAGTGAGTAAAATTAAGCCCAGAGCATTGTTTATTAAGATGTTGCAAAGGGCATTTCAAAAATTTGAGAAGTTATAGATAACAGGAAGGCAACAAATAAAAACAGAAAGTCCCTGTTCCAATCCCCACATTATTCACAACCCCAGTTAGATCTACTCATTTTTCAATAAAAGATGTCAAACATAGTATGCCTTGGTCAATTTGTGATACCTATACGTTCTCCTACCTCCGAAACCCTTCCCAATCAGCCACAGCAAGCCTTCCTTCAGCAAGGGACAGCCCGAGTGCATGTGTGGTGTGCCCCGAGACAAATGGTTGGAGATCTCAGTCAAGTTCAAAGCAATTTCCTCGGTCCAATGCTAGGTCCAGTGGGCAGCTGCTCAACACCAATAACCAAAGAAGGAATCAACTCATCCAAACAGTCTCTGATAAAGATCCGGGCTTTTGTTATTACTAAAATCTGTAAGGATCCTCAACTCAGGGGTTGCATCTTTGGTCTCGCTTCGAACAAGGACTCCATTTCATCTGCTTTCTCAAAGGCACAAATCACTCTCTCTCCCATCTGGAACTACGATCCTAGCCTCTTTTTCAATATCCCTCAAATGTCTTTTACACCAACCCTCACTAGTACTCCAGTGAGGATGATTCTTCTCGGTCCGTTCTCAAAAACTGTGTAACCACCTTGAAAGACCATCAATACACAGCTCTACAATTCCTGAAGAGAAACGAGTCTACCAAACGAAACACAATTGAAGACCTGTGGAACCACCCCATGAATAGTTGGATACGACGATCTAGTAACCCTTCTGACCTACGACTTGAAGAAACAGACCAATTTACTAGCCGAGGATCCATACTTGCTGATGACATGGGCTTAGGAAAAACGTTAACCAGCCTTGCGTTAGTTCTGGCAACCTCTAATTTGGCAAAACGCTTCCAGACAAGCGGCTTCGGCAATCATCTACTTCAATCTTCAGCCACTCTGATTATTTGTCCGTTAGCAACCTTGTCAAACTGGGAAAATGAGATCAAGATCCACTTTTCCCAGGGAGCCTTAACTTACTGTGTCTTTCATGGAAGAGATCGAGGAAGAATCGATAGAGAACGTCTATTGTCATCACTTATTGTCTTGACAACCTACGAGATGGTTGGAACGTCTGGAAACCCACTGCATACAAATCAAATCACAATTGAATCATTGGATATCTGTTGGTTCAGAATCGTGTTAGATGAAGCTCAGTAAGTTACCATAACTGTTGTATATGTATTTATTCATGAGTTGAAAAAGCTGACTTTAACGTATATGCAGTATGATCCGCAATCCAAATGCCAACAGGACTTTAAACATTCAAACGTTGAAATCAAAGTTTGTCTTGTGCCTGACCAGGACACCATTCCAAAACAGACTCACAGACGTGCAAAGTTTGATATTGCTCCTGAAGATCTGGCCATGGAATAAGGAGTGGATCTGGAAGAAGCACCTTATACCTGGAATGAACGTTGGATCCCAAGAAGCAATCACAACTTTGAACCTGTTGATGGAAACCGTATGCTTGAGGAGGACAAAGGACGTGCTCTTGAATCTACCTTCCAAGGTAGAAAAAGTGGTAGTTTTAAGCTTGGGTGCACCATGGGATGCTCTCTTAACGGAATTTCACCAATCTTTCATCCAGTGTTTTGGAAGACTTCGAATATCTGGCAAGGTGTGGGATTCGACAGAATTTTTCCGACAGCTCACCATGATACGGCAGTTCTGTAATCATCCAATTTTTGCACGTAACGAAATTCACTTTCCATGGAGTTGGCGATGGCAAGACTCTGCCAAATTGGTTCACCTGGTGGAGAACCTGAAACGATTCTTGCGGGGTGGAAGGGGGATTGAAAGTCCCAAAGCAGTAGTATTCTCAATCTTTGTGGCGTTTCTTGAAATGTGAGTAATAAACTTCATTGTATATTTTTTCAAAGATTCTGAATAAAGACTGATAAGGTATGGCATCGTGAAGAATTGAAAAAGCACTCAAAGAGAAAGACATGGGTTCAACATGGCTTATAGGGACGTTAGGTATAGGGAAACGAGATGAGAACCTGGCTCAATTTTGATCAGATCCCCACTGCAATGTTCTTCTAGGCTCAATACAAGCAGCGGGGGTAGGAATTGATTTGAGGTGTGCTCAGAATGTGTACATGATGGTAAGGAGGAAGCCATCTTTTTTAGAATTACACAAGCTGATAACAATTGTGATCTTAAAGGAACCAAATTGGAATCCAGCCATGGAAAATCAAGCTATGGATCGTCTTTATCGCCTTGGCCAAACAAACGAGGTTCATGTCTATTGATACTATGTACAAGGGAGTTTGGAAATGAATATACACCAAGTGAAAAGTAGGAAAGGGGAATTGGCAATGTACGAATTTCTCAGTATTTCTATATCCTTATATGTGGTAAATGGCTGACTTATGAGGTGGGACTTACATGACTTGGAATCTCAGGCTGAGTGTACCATCGAATGGAAATGAGGATTATGAGAGTGCACAGTTTCTTATGAGCAACATTTTGAATTAGCATGAAATGAAAAGACAATGTACTTACAGGACACTTTAGTTGAGGACAACAGCTTAGGAAAATCTATGGGTGGTTTGAGATCGAGAAGTTTGACATCGATCTCAGACAACATGGTCAGGTATTCGTCTGCATAGCAGTTTCTGGGTAAGCCGCGTGGAACATTGCGAAGAGATATTGAGGCAGAGAATGTTGAGGTGGCTCGCTTATTTTCAAGACTGAATGAATTTAAAAATTGGCGTCCTTGGGTATTGTGTGTTTTTTGGATCTGGATCTCGTCGAGTTGGCGGGCCAGGGTGTTAAAGTCTGTTGAACGCCAGGGGAGTGGAATTCTCTTGATAATTTTACCTGGGAGAGCCTCGGTCTCAGAGCTACATTTGATGTTATCGAAGAGTTCCATCTCGCTGAGGGATAGAGAGAGTTTTGAGAGGGTCTCCTGTCTGTGTTTCTGCAGCTGCAAGTGAGTGTGATGGGTTGTTTCAGTAAAAGCTTTGTTTGAGTTGACTATTGAAAACAATCTCACTTGTAATCGGAATTTGGATCTTTTTTCAGATTGCTTCTTTTCATCTCTACGTTTTTCAGAAAAACGTCCCAACCAAAGTCCATCCTTTCGTCCAAGAAACCACCTATGTAGAATACCTTTGCGCAGGGTGTCAGCCTTAGAGCCAGCCAAGCTGGCCAAAAGACTGCCTAAGTCCCCCCTTTTCATCCATGTTCCAACTTTAACTTATTCAGCTTAAGATTTTATTACATTCTGACTTCAGAAATGAATTCCTCATTCAATTTCAACCATGGTCACCACTGACCAGTTTTACACTACTCTTCTCCTTCATTGACTTTGTAACATTTCACCGTACCTTGTGAAATACCAACCAAATTGGAATTCCATCTCTCCCAACCACATGTACATGTAATGATTATGTCATCCAACTTTGAAAATCCTCTCTGAGCTTGTTGATTCCGCTTCCAGAGGATTTTCAGACTCCAGACCAACACAGAACCACAACAACCAGACCCAGATCAAGCCATCACTTATCAACCAGAAGTACTCCACTTTTCCCACCTTTCCCACTACACAGTGTCATTGGTGTCATTAGTAAGTAACTTCTCATAAGTTTTAGCTAGCATCTTTCTGCTTGTTTCTTTCTCTGTCTCTCTCAACCTCTTTCACTTCTTCTCCAAACCAAAGCCCTGATCAAAGAAAGCAAGCCATAGCTGCTATTATCTCTACTCTTCCTGTTTGGTAGTATAACTGAAAACTACATAGGTTTCCCTTTAAAGAGCCTTGATCTTTGATCTAAAAAATTGTGGTTGACCTGATTCATCAGTGTCAATAACCCATTTCAGTTTCTGTTGATTTGGAGGCGTCAGAGTTAGCTCCGCTTATAACAGCCATCCTACTAAGGAAAGTAAGACTGTCTGCAGCAATCCAAAAGAGACAGTAAGACTGCCAAACATTAATCAACATCATAAAAGAAATAAAATAACAAAAATATTATTCTTTTCTATCATCCTTCTCTTCCCTTTTCTCTCACTTTTATTTGTATTCCCTCTTCTCTTGAGAAATACATATAAAAGTGCCCCCCATATCTTGTGTCCTGCTGTCACTATAGAGACCCAGGCTCACAATTGGGGGCCTCATTGGGAAATGAACCCGAGACCTCTCCCATAATCATACTTTCAAACTCAATTCATCAGGCCAATAAAATAAAAAATATACATACTCTGTTCTTTTCTCTTTATCCACAAAAGAACAACACACATGAATAAATAAAAGCTATAGATAATTTCTGTTTTTTCAATTCTTCAAAAACATACTTCTCAACTTTCCATCGCGGAGTGATGGCAAATTTTTTCTATTTTTCTCATTGCAAAGTGCTTGCCAAAAAATCTTTCCTCTATTTGATCTGAATACTCAAACAAGAATCTTCGTCAATCAAATCACCGTTCTCTCTTTCCTTGTTCCTTGATCGACGGAATCTACCTCCCTCGCTTGCGAAGTGAAGAAAAATAAACATATCATACCATTACCCAATTCCCCGCCTGAATCTACTGCCCACCAAATCCTTAGATCTTTCCTCAATCTCATTGGACTCCGAGTCGGATCCTGACCTCTTGGACAAACAGACCTTAGCTCCAATAAGAGACAGCGACCCTATCTCATCGACCGAGTGGACACCAATAGCCACTTCCAATACCTCTAGAAATAGAACACAGAAGAGGAAAACATTACCGAGTGAAGCAGAACCTACTTGCTTTCCCGAGTGGACGCCGAATACACCGTCTTACCTTTCTCAACAACAAAATCACAGTTTCTCATACTTTCAAAAAATCCAACTGCTCCAATTTTTCCATTTCATAGCACTCGCTTCTTTTCATTTTCCATTGCGGAGCGCTCTTCAAAAATACTTTTCTTTCTTGAAAATCATAGAAGATTTATCATCAAAAATTAAGTAGTATTCGCCAAACCAAAGCTTTGGTTTGTTTTTGTTGTTCTCCTTGGTCCTCCAGAACTACTGTTGTAATTCAAAAAGTGAAGAGTAAACACGTCATACCCAATACTCCACCGGATTCTCTGACCGATTCTCATCCCCTTCCTTCGTTGTACTTCTCATCTATTCTGTCAGACTTTGAGAGGATCTAGAACTCTCAGAAAAGAAAAAAAAAACAGTTTCTCCTCCCTTGAGAGGGTAACCTAATCTCTTCAATCAATTTTGAACCACCTAAACTCCATTGCACCATTCACTAAGTGAAGAAGAGCCAACCGGTGACATAAGAGTCGCAGCCAGACTCTCTTCCTCATCTTTTTTTTTTTTTTTTTTGGATCTACCTCTGATTCCGTCAGAAGTCATCGCCAACCTAGATCTATTCGACAGATCTTAGCTACTCTTTCTAACGGAAACCTCATCAGCGCTACCGAGTGGACGCCCTTAGTCTCTCCGAGCTCATCAGACCTAAGGAAATAGAAACAAAGAAGTCAAAAAAGCAAAAGAAGTGGAAGGAAACAACCAGTACTTAAATTTCATTCCACTTCTTTGAGGCATAATTCCAGATAGAAAATTAATAACCGCTAGGCTTTAATTGCCCTCATTTGTTAAACAAAAATTCCCTTCCGTTGTTTTTGAACTTAACATTTAGCAACGTATAAATTCACTATGGTTCATTTCAATTTGATCAGAAAGATCGGGAAAAACTATCACCATTCTTTTGAAGAAGATAGCCTTTATATTTTAACATTCACTGACGGACCAATATCATCGCTCTTACCAAAGATAATCTCTGTTTGAAAAGTTGAAACTTGTGAAAACCACCATAAACGTTGAGTTTTTCTGCTTTTACAAATCTCCAATCAATCCAGTTAAACAGTTAGCTTCCTTGGATCTGAGATGTACTCCTAGCCAGATCAGCAGAATTATGTGGTACTGTAGCTCCCTTTGCATGAACTCCAATTACCAATGTGAATTTGTTCAAGAAGACCGAGTGCTTTATTAGCAACTCATTCAAATGATACCTCGATCACTCAAAGCAACTTATACTGACGACCTTTACAACAAAGAAAAATGATAACTTTGTTCTGACCGAGACTAGCCAGTAAATTGAGCTTGATTTCAGGTTTGTTAATCACCTATGTACAACCCGCAAAATTGTAACCCAACAACCGATCTGGAGTGGAACATTGCTGAAGCATAGAACTCATCCACTTTTATGCTCAATAAGACCGATTACTTCTCAATAATCACTTGAAGTATGAAACAAGGCCGTTACCATCATGAAATGTACAATCAGCAGAGTAGTTTTCAAAGCTGAAGTGACACAATGGTGTTAAGCCGATGGACAGAAATGCATTCGCTTCCACCTTTGGAACCAAACAGATCACACATATTTGTAGATCGTTTCCTCATTTCTCAGTCGATTTTCACGATTGTTAGCTTGTTAGAATCGCAAGAAAGCAACGGATTGATCGATCCGATCAAAATTACTGTAGTTCATTCCCCTTGATAAACAAATCAATGCTCAATCATAAGCAGCTAAATCAAAACGTATTTTTCCCATCCTTGAAGTGATTTCATTGTGTATGGGCTCATCATAATGGATCAGAGACAACAAATTGACCGGTCAAATACAAATTCTTCTTATCATCTTGTAAACTTACTGAGCTCTTCCACAAGTTTTGCAGAGTATCCAACTCACAAAATTGATTTGTGTTCTCCCAGAGTTTTGTCTGACCTGTCAATTTCAATAAGAAATAGAACATAGTAGTGACCTTGAGCATATAACTACTCTTCTAGCTGAAAATGTCCAACACCTTTCAAATAATACTTATACTTTATCTCTGCCATTTTAATTGAAAAAAAAAAAGAAAAACATCTTGAT